CAGGATGCTGACTTTTTTCTCAGGATTCTGAGTTTGATCTCAGGATTCTGAGTTTGATCTCATAGTTCTGACTTTTTCTCTCAGAATGCTGACTTTTTTCTCAGGATTCTGACTTTTTTCTCAGGATTCTGACTTTTTTCTCAGGATTCTGAGTTTGATCTCAGGATTCTGAGTTTGATCTCATAGTTCTGACTTTTTCTCTCAGAATGCTGACTTTTTTCTCAGAATACTGATTTAATATCAGGATTCTGACTTCAATCTCAGAATTCTGACTTTTTTTCTCAGGATTCTGACTTTTTTCTCAGGATTCTGACTTTAATCTAATAATTCTGACTTTTTTTCTCAGGATTCTGAGTTTGATCTCATAGTTCTGACTTTTTCTCTCAGAATGCTGACTTTTTTCTCAGAATGCTGATTTAATATCAGGATTCTGACTTTAATCTAATAATTCTGACTTTTTTCTCATAATTCTGACTTTTTTCTCAGGATTCTGACTTTAATCTAATAATTCTGACTTTTTTCTCATAATTCTGACTTTTTTCTCAGGATTCTGACTTTAATCTCATAATTCAGACTTTTTTCTCATAATTCTGACTTTTTTCTCAGGATTCTGACTTTAATCTAATAATTCTGACTTTTTTCTCATAATTCTGACTTTTTTCTCAGGATTCTGACTTTAATCTCATAATTCTGACTTTTTTTCTCAGAATGCTGACTTTAATATCAGAATTCTTACTTTCTTCTCAGGATTCTAAATTTATTCTCAGAATTCTGACTTTTTTCTCAGGATTCTGAGTTTGATCTCAGGATTCTGAGTTTGATCTCATAGTTCTGACTTTTTCTCTCAGAATGCTGACTTTTTTCTCAGAATGCTGATTTAATCTCAGAATTCTGACTTTTTTTCTCAGGATTCTGAGTTTGATCTCATAGTTCTGACTTTTTCTCTCAGAATGCTGACTTTTTTCTCAGAATGCTGACTTAATATCAGGATTCTGACTTTTTTCTCAGGATTCTGACTTTTTTCTCAGGATTCTGACTTTTTTCTCAGAATGCTGACTTAATATCAGGATTCTGACTTTTTTCTCAGGATTCTGACTTTTTTCTCAGGATTCTGACTTTTTTCTCAGGATTCTGACTTTTTTCTCAGAATGCTGACTTAATATCAGGATTCTGACTTTTTTCTCAGGATTCTGACTTTTTTCTCAGGATTCTGACTTTTTTCTCAGGATTCTGACTTTTTTCTCAGAATGCTGACTTAATATCAGGATTCTGACTTTTTTCTCAGGATTCTGAGTTTGATCTCATAGTTCTGACTTTTTCTCTCAGAATGCTGACTTTTTTCTCAGAATGCTGACTTAATATCAGGATTCTGACTTTTTTCTCAGGATTCTGACTTCAATCTCAGAATTCTGACTTTTTTTCTCAGGATTCTGACTTTTTTCTCAGGATTCTGACTTTTTTCTCAGGATTCTGAGTTTGATCTCAGAATTCTGACTTTTTTTCTCAGGATTCTGACTTTTTTCTCAGAATGCTGACTTAATATCAGGATTCTGACTTTTTTCTCAGGATTCTGACTTCAATCTCAGAATTCTGACTTTTTTTCTCAGGATTCTGACTTTTTTCTCAGGATTCTGACTTCAATCTCAGAATTCTGACTTTTTCTCTCAGAATGCTGACTTTTTTCTCAGAATGCTGACTTAATATCAGGATTCTGACTTTTTTCTCAGGATTCTGAGTTTGATCTCATAGTTCTGACTTTTTCTCTCAGAAAGCTGACTTTTTTCTCAGAATGCTGACTTAATATCAGGATTCTGACTTTTTTCTCAGGATTCTGACTTCAATCTCAGAATTCTGACTTTTTCTCTCAGAATGCTGACTTTTTTCTCAGGATTCTGAGTTTGATCTCAGGATTCTGAGTTTGATCTCATAGTTCTGACTTTTTCTCTCAGAAAGCTGACTTTTTTTCTCAGGATTCTGACTTTTTTCTCAGGATTCTGAGTTTGATCTCAGGATTCTGAGTTTGATCTCATAGTTCTGACTTTTTCTCTCAGAATGCTGACTTTTTTCTCAGAATGCTGATTTAATATCAGGATTCTGACTTTTTTCTCAGGATTCTGACTTCAATCTCAGAATTCTGACTTTTTTTCTCAGGATTCTGACTTTTTTCTCAGGATTCTGAGTTTGATCTCAGGATTCTGAGTTTGATCTCATAGTTCTGACTTTTTCTCTCAGAATGCTGACTTTTTTCTCAGAATGCTGATTTAATCTCAGAATTCTGACTTTTTTCTCAGGATTCTGACTTCAATCTCAGAATTCTGACTTTTCTTCTCAGGATTCTGACTTTTTCTCTCAGAATGCTGACTTTTTTCTCAGGATTCTGAGTTTGATCTCATAGTTCTGACTTTTTCTCTCAGAATGCTGACTTTTTTCTCAGAATGCTGATTTAATATCAGGATTCTGACTTTTTTCTCAGGATTCTGAGTTTGATCTCAGGATTCTGAGTTTGATCTCATAGTTCTGACTTTTTCTCTCAGAATGCTGACTTTTTTCTCAGAATGCTGATTTAATATCAGGATTCTGACTTTTTTCTCAGGATTCTGAGTTTAATCTCAGAATTCTGACTTCTTTTCCCAGAATACTAGTTTTGCACCGATACAAGTATCGGACAGGGCCCAGATCTAGCACTAAAATGGAGGTATCAGTATCGGAGAGTACCAACAAATAGGGCACTGATACTAGCCTAGTAATCTAGCCCCATCCACCAGCAGCCAAAATCATTTTTGCCTGTGAGCCGATTAGCCTTGATCTGTGCCCCAGGCCTTAGAAGTGGCTGGCCAATCACAACGCAGAGATGTCTTTTGAATCTCTGGATCCAAAGCGGGCGGGGTTTTGAGGGCGAGACGACAAAGCTGCGCGACGCTGGAGAAAGCAAAACAAGGAAGATGGCAACAGCTATTGAACAGTATCATGCACTGCAGCAGCTCTCAATGGAGCGCTCCATTGAAAGTTAAAAGTTCTCTTTTCTGTCGCTTTTGTTCAATAAAAGTTCGTTTTAAGATCATTTGAGGCGAGCATATTATAATCTAAAGCATCACTATATGCTCCATTTAGCGATTTAACACGTAATTTAAAACATTTTCCAAAGTTGAGAGGACTTACTACGTCACAGTCAGTTGAGCTCATTGGTCAGAGCGTTGGCCAATAGGCACAGACATGGTCTGAAAGACAACGGGTTATTCTCATCAACAATCTTCTGATGTCTCATTCATCCAGACTAAATTACACATTTAATCTCACATTTAGCCTGGTTTGTCAGGCTACGCCGATACCATTTTGAGAGCCAAAAGTTTTTTCAACTATTGTCACCCGTTCCAGTTAGGCAATAAAAAGTTCTACTGGATTCACTTTGGATCAGTCTTTTTCCTGCTTCACAAAGGTAGGCAGTAGTGATGCTGAGATGAAGCCTCATGAGGCATTGAACCGTTTGGCCAAATTGCTTCAACGATCCCCACACTCCATTAAGCTTCATTTGAAGATGTCACCACCTACTGGTGGAGTGCAGAACTACAGTTAGTAATGTAAACTGATTTTTTTGCAATTGTTTTTCTTGTTTTTTTCCCATATAAGTTCCTTTGAAATTAATGACTGGTCTGTATAATAAAATCTTTTGTAAGATTTGTATGTGTAAAATTTCTTAGAAGAGAAAAATCACTGTTTTCTGCCATTTTAGGGAAATAAGCTCCAGCAGACAGTGAAAGTGCTTGTGCAAATTGGGAAAAGATAAACAAAATGAAAGACGTTAGTCGTTTTATTCAAACATAATAGTTTTTCAAGAGTTTTTGGTTTTAATCAGGTTGGAAGTTATGTGTTCAACCAATCTTTTGGTCAATCCAACCAATCTAACTTTGTTAGTGCTTTTACGCAATCTATATTTGTACTAGGGCAAACAATACAAATTAGTCACATTAGCCACAAAAAAACTTTCAAATGTCTGAGGTGGGTCTTGTACCATCAACTTCAACTGTGACCAGCGGCTCGCTCAGATTTTGATCATTACATTGTTTAATCAAACCAAACTAGATTTAACCAACTAGATTGGTTGTTTTTTCCAACAAATCTATCGTTAGAATCTATTCAAACGCTATCCAACTCTCCTACAAACTTCCACATCTTTACTGAATACTGAGGCTGTTAGATGCCTGCCGAAGTTTCGGACAAGCTGGAGCCCTTCCCAAAGCGGTCACTTGGTATGGCGGTGTAGCGAGGCTTCGGACGTCATCTATTTTGACTCCTCTCCCAAATGAAGCAAGCCTCGATACGCGCCTCTTGGAAACTCCCCCTCCATTACTCGACACACGCCTCGAAGCCTCGGCTCATCTCATAACATCACTAGTAGGCAGCAGCTTGACAAAACCATGATGGCAATTATTTTACATCCCAGGAGGAGGCAGTTCTTCATATATACACACACACTCATCAATTTCAAACGGATGGTATCGGTATCAACCAATACTGCGCAGCCAGGTATTGGGTATCGGTATCAGGGCCAAAAAATGGCAACGCTATATAATCCCTAATTAAAGGTTGTTGTTTTTTTTTGGAAAGGTACTTCTAATGTGAGAAACGAGCTTCATTGAAAAGCGTTTTCTAATTTATTGCATATAATAAAAAAGTAACATATCACTGCATTGGACTGAAAAAACATTTTATGAGGCAATTAAGAATTCAGATCTAAAACATAAATGTTTGATTGAAGTCGGATACATTTGAAATGTCTTTAGTTATGTTCTTTTGAATTGCTTTTCATTTTAAGTTTAGAGGAAATAAATATTCGCAGTGACGGTGCATACATGAAACCATGATTTTAAACTCTAAATTCCTGTCAAATCTGACATGTAGTCTCTGCAGATTGCTATTTCACCTCGTTCTCAATAAACAGGATTTATAGGTCTTTTAGGTTGTGGTTTGTAATGTAATAAATCTATGCTGTGTTCTCACAGCCAGCCCACCCAGGTTTGTTTCTGTGGAGGAGCTGATGGAGACTGCTAAAGGGATGACCAACATGGCTTTAGCTCATGAAATCATTGTCAATCAGGACTTGCAGTTCAAGCCAACAGAGCTTCCTGAAAGAAGGTGAGGGTTTGATTCAAAAGCCTGGCAGTTCTCCAACTGTTTAAGAATTTAACTGCTGAAGAAAATTGGACAATCTTCTTTGTTCTGCCACAGTTTGGAGCGCCGGGTGAAGGAGACCATGCACCAAGCCTTCTGGGACTGTTTGGAGGATCAGCTGAAAGAGGATCCTCCATCATACCAACATGCCATCAAACTTCTGGGAGAGATTAAAGAGGTGAGGATTGATCCATTTAGCTCAATAAAGGGATATTTTAACTAAGATCATGTAAAAGCTCTTAAAGTCCATGTAAAGTCGCAATAAATATGTGTTTTCAGTTTATCAAACCACATAAATGTGTGTTTTTAATCACTTAGCTAATTTTGGATGTTTAAAACCACAGCTAAGCGTTTAAAATTAGCCTGATGTCCGCTGCAATGCACTGCACTGCTATGGCAACATGAAAAAACTTTTCCGTGTACTATGACAACGGCTTGCCATCTTACAGGGAAAGTGGAGAAACCAAAGCATTCTCAGAATTCCATGCTGTGACGTCACAGCGCCACCATTTTAGCCACAGCAGTGATTCAGGTCATCCTTTTAAAGGAATAGTACACCCAAAACATGATTAGCCTTCATTTTCTACTCACCCCCATGCTGAACAACACTCTGGAGTACTTTTTTGATATCTCAAAGGCATCTGGAGATCTGGGAGGCTTCTTGCTGTCTGCTGACATTCAAATAATGGAGGTCTATGGCGCCCGAGACAGAAAGGTCCATAAAAGTCCACAAAAAACGTGTCAATATTCCTCCATACTGCTCGTCCAATGTATTCCAAGTGTCCTGAGTGGGTAGCGTCCAGAATTTACTCGAAACGAAGTCATTTAGAATGTTTTTAGAGCATAAACAGTAGTGTATAGGATTTCCTAAAAGCGCGCACATGCGCTTTCACGATGCTACGGAAGCCGGCAGACCAAACCAGATGAAAGCGCGCATTCAGCGTCTGCTCTGCCGATAATGCAAGCGTAGAAGAAGAAATGTGCTGTTTACCTGTGCAAAGAAAGAAACAACGAAAGAAAAATGTCTGAGGACTTCAGTGTTGAGGAAGAGCATGAGTTCTTTGCCGAGCTGAATGCGCACTTTCATCTGGTTTGGTCTGCCGCGGTTTGCGTAGACTCGTGAACGCGCTTTCAGGAAATCCTATACACTACTGTTTATGCTCTAAAAACATTCTAAATGACTTCGTTTCGAGTAAATTATGGATGCTACCCACTCAGGACACTTGGAATACATTGGACGAGCAGTATGGAGGAATATTGACACGTTTTTTGTGGACTTTTATGGACCTTTCTGCCTCGGGCGCCATAGACCTCCATTATTTGAATGTCAGCAGACAGCAAGAAGCCTCCCAGATCTCCAGATGCATTTGAGATATCAAAAAAGTACTCCAGAGTGTTGTTCAGCATGGGGGTGAGTAGAAAATGAAGGCTAATCATGTTTTGGGTGTACTATTCCTTTAATGCAGGAACTGACATGTGTTGAGACTTGAAAAGGAAAAATAACTAAATAATGCCGGAAACTGCTCCCCAAGGATGCGGGTTAAATCTAGAGTTAATTTCTCCATTGTGAGATCTGTAAAGTTCAATTATTAAAAAAAACACAACGGTTGGGAGACTTCTTACACAATTAGAACAACACAAAAACACATTTATGACATGCTTAATAAGAAAATGGCAAAATTCTAAAATCGACTCTAAACTTGTACTTGAATTTGGTTTAAAGTCTTTTATGCAGTCATAAAGTGTTAGTTGTTGTATTGAAAGTGTCCTAAATATTTTCGCAATCAAGTTAGATTCTCCTGCAAATATTCAGAATTCATCATATTTTCATCAGATATCTCAAGAGTTTTGTCTGATCTGTAAATTGTCTTTATATTTTATTTCTCTCTCCCAGCTCAGGTATTTTTTTTCTCCCACGCTGTTTACATTTATGGAATGGAAATGTTCATTTTTCATTTTGTATACACTCTGTGTATGCTAAATAAAAGTTGTCTAAGATCTACGATGTGATCTTGGATTAAAGGTCTCCACGGTTTAAGTTTTTCATAAGTATTGTCCATACGAAGCTACATTTAAACAAATGTAATAACCTGTTAAAGACGACACTATGGTTACTCTAATCTGGATAAATCTCAGCATGACTGTATAAACCAGGGGTGAGCAACACGAGTCCTCGGGTGCAACTGTCCTGCAGCTTTTGCTTGCCTCCCTGCTTCAGCACATCTGAAACAAAAGACCAAATTGCCTCCTTAGCATTTTTGTCAGGTGTGTTGAAGACGGGATGCATGCAAAAGCTGCAGGTCGGTGAAGCTGGCAGACCGATGATGCTTACCCCGTTATAGACGTTCCTCTGTATCTCATGAAAAAGCAATTTTCTCCATTAGTTTACTTTGCTTTTTAATTTTTATATAAGATTTTTATTAGATTCAGATTCAGATTTTTTTTATAACTGATTTTCAAACATGTAGATTTAAAAACTAAAAAAAATCGCTCTCTGGATGAGATCTCTACATGTAATGTTAGTCTGGAACCTGCTCAGGTGTGATGGTTGATTGAAATGTTTGTTTTAGGGCTGCGTAGTTGTAATAAAATAAACATAATATGGTATAAAAAAGATTATTTAGATTTACTGACTTTATTCACAACTATCTTCGTCAAACATCAGTTGCATCCTATCAGTCCATCTATGCATCCGTAACACGAAGCTGGATTCATTCTTAGCAAGGCTAGTCACCGTGGTGACGTACTCTGAACGCAATCCTGCTCCGGGTCAGGCTAGCTTTCAGGATTGATCTGAATGCTAAAAAATATTCCACCCAGCAGCCAATCAGCTGTGCAGGAAATGATGATGTGGCCTTGAGATTGAAGACGCAATTTTTATTTCAGAGGGAAAAAGAACCAAACAGAACATCGCAATAAAGAAGCCTGAAAAAGCAGCTAAACGCTCTACAGTCTCTACACTTCAGTTAACGATCAATAGATTACTATATTACGATTATTTTTGATAATCAATTTATCACGATTAATCTGATTGTTTCAGCGCTAGACTGCAAGTAATCCCATCAGGGGTTCTACAAAAATAAGGTAAAGTCAAAGCAAACACCTTTAAAGACTATCACAGTCTGAGAAAATATGATTTAAAGCTATTAAAATCTTGTTTTAAAAGATGAAAAGCTGGAACTTCTTTATTCGTCTCCACTGTTGTAATATAATAGCATTTATTGGATCAAGTCTTCAGAAAAAACAGATCATGCAGTTTTTTAACTGAGTTTCAGAGATGGTCATTTAGGCTGCGTTCACACTGCAGGCCTTGATGCTCAATTCTGATATTTTTGTGAAATCTGATTTTTTTGTGTTGCTGTTCACATTTTCAAATATATGCGACTTGTATGTGATCTCCTGTGTGAGCTGCAATCATACAAAGCAAGTGTCCCGCATGCGCAGTAGAAGATGCAATGACATCACAGGCCAGCTTGCTCTGTGTTTACGGAAGTAAATATGGAAGGTAGTGCTTCCATATTTCAACTATAAAACACAATCTTTTGAATATGGTGAAACATAAATGCTGCTCTCCGCATCAACGTTTGTATCTTTTCCCTTTACAACCTCCCATCCAGACGCTGCTGTCTTTTTTGCTGTCCGGCCACGGACGCCTTCATTCCCGCATCGAAGAGGTTCTTGATCTGCCGCTAATCCAGCAGCAGGCTGAAAACGGAGCTCTAGATATCGGCCAGCTGTCCCAGTTTATCATTGAAATGATGGGTTCTCTATGCGCCCCATGCAGAGATGAGGACATCAAGAAACTGAAGCCGATCACCGACCTTGTGCCTCTGCTGAAGTAAGCCTTACTGTGAGAGACACACCATTATTAGCGCTACAGTTAGCCAACACTGTTTTATTTTTAGACCTTTGTCATTTCATGCAGAGGTCAGCTTGTTGTTAAGTGATCTTCCTTTGGCCAAATGGGAACATGGAGATTATATATTTTTTAGCCTCAATGGTGCAAAATTTATTTAATAGTATTGTGAACAAAACAGAATTAACAGAACATATTTTAGGTGACTCAAATATTAATTTAATAGGCATATCTATAAGTTGCTCGAATGCAAAATCACCATCTGCAGCTGTGGATTTGCCAGAATACAATGTTTTCAGAAGAAATGGAGAGACAGGGGGAGGTGGCGGTTTATTAGTTTATGTTAAAAATCACCTTAAAGCTGAAGTCTGTAAGTTTTTAAAAATCACTTTTTTGTCATATTGGCTAAAACTGTCCCTATGCTCAGACAGCAGTACATGTGATATGTAACCTGTGAAAAAAACTGCTTCAATTGGTCCCGCCTACTGCCTGTATTTCAATCTGGAAAGAATAATTCGGCGAGTCAAAACAACCAATCACAGCCAGAGGAGCGTCTGATGGAGTGTCAATCACAGCTCACACACGCTGAATCCACCCCCCCTTCTGGTCGCATGCGGTAGCCGCGCAGATGCTGTGAGAGGGGTGGAGCTTGGAGGTGCGGCATGAGTGAAGCAGAGAGGGTGGGGGAGTGGCGTGAAACCTGTTTTTCTTCAAATTTTCAGTCGAAGTCTGCTCTCTCCTCAATGTTACAGACTGCAGCTTTAAATGTGATTGGCCAGCAGAAAATGATCTTGAATGTATTGGTTTGAACATAATACTGTTCACCACAGTGTCACTTACTCTGATCTGTATCTACTGCCCCTCATCTGCAAGAGACATATTTTAAGTTTAACTGGAGTCTATTTTGAAAGAATGCAGCTCTTTAAGGGAAATCATTTTCATGGGTGACATAAACATCAACTGGAACAATAAAGTGGACAAGGCAAATGTTGATGACGCAATATTGATTTAATGTAATTTAGCATTAAAATCATGCAGCAGCACATACCAGGTGGTTATTAGGAATCAAACAGGCCTATTTTACCACAGATATTCTACGTTTAGTAGCTCCACAGCAGAACTCTAATCTATAGCTAGTAAATACATATCTGCTGACGTCACAGGGAGAACACTGGTGGAGCTAGCTCAGCATTCTATAATGGAGATGGATGGAAACATGTTCCAGAATGTCTGGAAATGGTTTGTGTGGTTGAACCATGGACTAGTTTGAGCTCAGGAGAGGGTAGTGATGCTGAGGAATATGGTGGCATCACACCTTCTAGGTTAGAACCAACCAGAGTGGACCTCTAGCCTACAGAGTCAGACTCTGAGGGTGACAGTAATATGACCGCAGCAGAAAACAAACGTCTGCGGAACACGGCTTTCTACACCTCTGCTACAGATAGCATAACATCTCATTAGTCTATAGAATATAAATGAAAGCTCTGAATGGAATCAGATGTGCCCGTTTCCATCCCCCAAATAAAAAATACAGCATAAGTTCCTCTGAAATTTCAGTTTAAACCACAAACCTATTAAACACCTGATGCAGAACTCAGAACCACGTTATTACCACAAAGTTAGCCTCTGAGTTAACAGAAGATAAAAACGGTAAATTTTGGGTCATTATCGGAGATGGCAGCAATCTGCGATCTAAGCTCCTCATCAGCCTCTGTTTTTTTTTTATGAATATTTTGCTCTTACACCGTAGATATGGCTGCTGACAGCTGCTCACCGTAGATATTAACTGAACAGCAAAGCGACTCTTACCATGAGGGAACAATCTCATTTAACCTGCTTCACCCATATTAAAAGCAGCTGGGGGATCCTTAGGAAACTTAAATTCTTAAATTTAACTTAAATTCTTATGGGGGCTGAGACAAAAGGCTGCGCCCCTTTGCAAAGGCATAGCTGTAACTAAACCCATTAAAACTCCAGCTGTCAATAACAAAACCACTGATCCAGCTCTCAGTCCTTGTCATTCCAGTTTTCTCCCACTAAGTGGCGCTAGAGTCCTCTGAATGGCAGAGGTTTCCTGATGAAAACTGTTTATCCAGACATGCTTGAAATTACTACATTAATCATTGGTATTAACCTCTTGATCTGCAAAAAAAATAAAAAATACTAGAAAATGTCACTACTGTGTCCTCAGCACTTTAAACTGACAGATGAGTATAATTTAACACAGGTCATTAATGGGCCAACAAGAGTAACAAGCTGGTCACAAACCGCAATCCATTTAAAGGAATAGTACACCCAAAACATGATTAGCCTTCATTTTCTACTCACCCCCATGCTGAACAACACTCTGGAGTACTTTTTTGATATCTCAAATGCATCTGGAGATCTGGGAGGCTTCTTGCTGTCTGCTGACATTCAAATAATGGAGGTCTATGGCGCCCGAGGCAGAAAGGTCCATAAAAGTCCACAAAAAACGTGTCAATATTCCTCCATACTGCTCGTCCAATGTATTCCAAGTGTCCTGAGTGGGTAGCATCCATAATTTACTCGAAACGAAGTCATTTAGAATGTTTTTAGAGCATAAACAGTAGTCTATAGGATTTCCTAAAAGCGCGTTCACGAGTCTACGGAAACCGCGGCAGACCAAACCAGACGAAAGTGCGCATTCAGCTCGGCAAAGAACTCATGCTCTTCCTCAACACTGAAGTCCTCAGACATTTTTCTTTCGTTGTTTCTTTCTTTGCACAGGTAAACAGCACATTTCTTCTTCTACGCTTGCATTATCGGCAGAGCAGACGCTGAATGCGCACTTTCATCTGGTTTGGTCTGCCGCGGTTTCCGTAGACTCGTGAACGCGCTTTTAGGAAATCCTATAGACTACTGTTTATGCTCTAAAAACATTCTAAATGACTTCGTTTCGGGTAAATTATGGACGCTACCCACTCAGGACACTTGGAATACATTGGACGAGCAGTATGGAGGAATATTGACACGTTTTTTGTGGACTTTTATGGACCTTTCTGCCTCGGGCGCCATAGATCTCCATTATTTGAATGTCAGCAGACAGCAAGAAGCCTCCCAGATCTCCAGATGCATTTGAGATATCAAAAAAGTACTCCAGAGTGTTGTTCAGCATGGGGGTGAGTAGAAAATGAAGGCTAATCATGTTTTGGGTGTACTGTTCCTTTAATATTCCCAACGAGGTCTAAAGGAATTTTAAAGACTTGATCTCCTATCAGGTCTTTCTGATCATAATTTCTCCCAAAGCTAGATCTTACCTTTTCATCCCTAAACACCTGCAACAGCATCTGTAGGCTGAACTTGAACAGATAAATTGATCAATTGTAATACAAATGGTAGATAGTTTTAATCAAACTATCAACATTTTAACTCGGTTTTCCCTGAAGTTTAGAAAGCATAAAGATATTTATCTTATATTAGCACTGCCAGCCCACACCAGGAGCTGTGACACCTACATAAGTTGTAAAACCTCCTTGAAACGTTGGTGAACACATGGGGAAATGATCCGTTTCCTTGAGTCTGTTCACCTAATCTTATTGTGATTTTACGTTATTTGTGTCTTATCTGTATGTAATTACTATGTTCTCTCCTGTAGCATCTTGTTTATTATCTACTGTTTTTACCTGCTTTAGGACAGCAAATGCAAATTAGCTGTTGTGCTAATTGCTGCATATTTACATTGATGCTTAACTCATGTTGATGAGTGCGCGTTGTCCTTATTGAAATAGATAAACAGAAATTTTACAAATGCACACGCTTTGATGCTAAGCAGTGACTTACAAGTTAAACACTTTTTACTTGTTTTCTACCTCTGTTTAGGTCCATTTTCTCTGTGCTGGACCTGATGAAGGTGGACATGGCTAACTTTGCAGTGAAGAGCATTAAGCCACATCTCATGCAGCAGTCGGTTGAGTATGAGAGGAACAAGTTCCAGGAGTTTCTGGAGAAACAACCAAGTAAAGAATGGCCCCTTTGCAAAAACCCCTTGTGTTTTACTACATGGTGGTGTCAAGTCAGGGGTAATGTTTAGTTTTTTCTTGCCGAAGGATGAAAAAAAAGCAGTTCTTTGTTTTATTTTCAAACTATAACTAAAAACAGAAAGTAAATTGGCTGAATGTACACCGACCTTTGAGCTCCAGGTTAATCAGATCCATTCACTGGGCATGATACGCCCAAAATGTTTGATCTTCATTTGGTTTGGTTTATGTTCACACTACGCTTTTAAAAAAAGGACCAAACAACTGGAAACAAGTCATGCAGTTGTATCAATTCCTGACTGATGAGCAAGTGAGCGTAACGTTAATAATAAATCAATGAATGCAGCTTTCTCTATTTACCATTTGATTTATAGATGCCTGAAATAAGAGTTTATATTCCTTAAATCCAGAATTAACTCTAGGTAGCAGGAATCTATTTCCTGTTTTGGATGTTATTTCAATAGGAGCTTGATCTCACATGGACTCCCTGACTGACCAGTGTCCCCTGAACACCAACATGCCAGCTGCAGGTGTACTGACTGATAGTTCTGTCATCACCCAATACAAATGTAATTTAATTACAGTGGAGTTACATACTATATACTGATGTAGCCTAATAAAATGGACAATTTCCTCTAAGAAGAACCAATGTGGTCACTTAGCGAAGGAATAGATTCGGATTTCAGCTGACTGATTGAGCAAGACTCCGTTGAGCAAGTCTGATGCGCTCGTAAAATTTGTACCTGATAGATTAGAAATGGGAGAAAAATGGTGAATGTGACATTTTCTCTTAAATTGCTCGTAAAAACGATTTAAGAACAAATCTTTTTGTGTGAATGCTTCTTGCATGAGGCCCATTGGTCCTAAAAAGAATGATGTATATATTTTTTTAGATTTGTGCAATGTTTACTTTGGATAGGAGGAGGAGATCCCCTGGGAATCTCAAACATATTTTGTGCACCACTCCTACTGAATAATAAAAGACGAATAAAATATGTGAAACCCTTCTGATTTCCAATAAAAAGAGATTTGAAACTATGGTTAATAGTCAGGGTATGTTGCTCTGACATACTGTCCGACTATTTGCCCATTCATTCCAATGACATTACTTTTCTTGTGTATAACAGAGCGGCTCTGCTTAAGAATTGACATCAGTGCCCTCTAGTGGATTATAACATTACAACACTTAAAGAACATTTTTCTAATCAGACCTGACCAGTTAAATAATTTGGATAGCATAAATACTAATCTAATAAACATTTAAATATCATTTATAATTTGTTTCCATCTCTAGTTTTAACCGAAGTGTTTGCTGGATAGTTGTGTTTAGTTGATCATCACTAGAATCCACTTTCTGTTCAGTTAGACCCACATTTCCAGTGTTTGATCATCTGTTCTGCACCATGGTTCTGATTTTTTTAAAACCTTGCCCAAATTAACTGAACTATCCAGAACAGTGTCATCTTTTTTGTTTAAAGCCGACCAATTGTGCAAATTAACACTGACATTTACTAACAAAATAAATAAAACCTGTTGAGGATTTAATTCTTTACAATATGCATGTTTGTGAGTTTTTCCTCTGTCTTTTGGGTTGTCACGATACTAAACTTTTCAACTCGATACCGATACTAAGGAAAATATTCGATTCTCGATACCATTTTCGATACCACAAGGATAAAAACAAAGACTCCAAAATTCTACAGAAATATTTTCATTCATAAATAAAATACAATAAAGGTTGTATGCTGTGCATAATATTAAGCAAGCTTGATAAAAAAAACTTATAAAATTAAAATAAAGTGTTCCTTCCTTGGCTATGCTTTGCACACATAACAATGACACTAGCCAAACCGGTTAAGAAACAAAAATAATTCTCAGCAGCTGCACCTCTTACAAAAAAAAAAGTCTGAAACTGAAAAGTGCGGAGAATTATTCAATCACACAGTGTTCTGAAAGTGCATTGTCCTCTATTCTGCACTCTAGATAAATGACTGTTTAGGTACCACTGGTGGTGGCTCTGTATCGATACTTTTAAAAACTAGTATTGTATCCGGATACAACGTTTCAGTATCGATACTTTTGACAACCCTACTTTACCCTGATCTACTCCCTGCCGCTGCTGTGAAGAATAAACATGTCCATTTCTTTCAGATGCCTTAGACTACACAGAGAAGTGGCTGGAGGAAACGGTGAAATCTCTGAGAGAAACAGACGGTTCTGCTGCTGCTTCCAGTGACCCCCCTTCCCTCCTCCCATTAAATGTTCATAATCACGCTTATCTTCGCCTGCTCAGGTGGGATCATGCTTCAGACCCTTTCCCAGAGGTAAATACTCAGTCCTCGTCCTTCATTTTTTTGGTTTATTTATTTCCTGCTCATAAGACGGAACATTCTTTTCTCCCTTCTCCCAGACGGTGCTGATGGATCAAGTTCGGTTCTTAGAGATGCAGCAGGAGGTGGAGCGGTTAGTTCTGCTCTCCTCTGTGCTCCTTGTTGTCTACACCACCACAGGAGACGCCATCTCTGGCCTCCCAGGACTGATGGAGTCGCTTAAAAACACTGTCAGTGTCATGCTCACAGAAATGCACGTTCCGTGAGTACAAATATATAAGTCCTGAGCTACTCTGATGCTCAATTTGTTATGTATCCAGTTGGTTTTAATGTTTTAGCAGTTATTAGATCTTCATGCAGCCATGAACTCATCTGTAACCAAACATATTAGAAGCCATGGATTCCAGTGGGACTGATATCTGACGTAATTGACACTTATTCTGAAAATCAAGCTGATACAGTAGCCGCCTTTACATTTACCATCAAATTACTGAATTACTAAGACAAATTTTTTCTAAATAACAAAATTGCAGTTTTGAAAAACTCATCTTAGAAATCAGTAGAAATTCTTATAGTTTGCACAAGCTGCAACGGAAACACTTTTTCGCATCATATGAGTCACGTGATTTCAAACGCGCCCCTACTGCCTTGGAAAAAGACAAAGAAGACTGGAAGTTGTTGGAGGATGAGAGTGCGGCAGATTTTGATAAAGGACAAGACCATTTTTTTCCCATTTATTATACAACAATGAGCGTCATCACTCTTGAGCCTTGGCTGACATATGGATATATCGTATGTGTTGACATCTGCTGCTGCCATGTTGTTTTCAAGTGTTTTCAAGAATTATCACATGAATAGATACTGTTTATTACCTGCAATTTATTTTATGGAAATACCACAACTTTAATCTGAAGATTTCCCTTTTCAGAATTAGCAGAATATCATCATAGTTTTATGGACATTTGTAATGAAAACAAAACTAGTACCTCTCAAAAGTATTACCGTATTTTCACGACTATAAGGCGCACCTAAACGTCTTTTTTTCCCCTCAAAATGTGGGGTGCGCCCTATGGTGCGGTGCGCCCTATCTGCGGACGTTGTTGAGACCACCATGAGTATGTGAGAACCTTAAAGGGGGAAGTGTGGGCGTGGCTTGTGTATAAAAGAACAGAACAATTTTTCCATCCGGACCAGGACTACAGTTGCTCAGCGACGTCCGGCGGATTATGATGAAAAGCTGGCGAGCTTCCACTCTTTCTGCAGCAAACACATCGCTGACAAAGTCATCCAGCCAAGCCACATCACCAACATGGACGAGGTGCCGCTCACTTTCGACATCCCGGTGAATCACACCGTGGAGAAGAAGGGGACCAGCACTGTAGCGATACACACAACGGGGTATGAAAAGGCGTCGTTTACTGTTGTGCTTGGCTGCCACGCAAATGGACAGAAACCTATGGTGATTTTTAAAAGAAAGACTTTGCCTAAAGAGACTTTTCCAGCTGGAGTTGTTATTAAGGCGAATGAAAAAGGCTGGATGGACGAGGAGATGATGAAAGCTTGGCTGAGGGAGGTGTATGTAAGGAGACCAGGTGGTTTTTTCCACGCATCACCATCTCTGTTAATTTGTGACTCCATGCGTGCCCATCTCACATCCGATGTTAAAAAAAAGGTCAAAGAAATGAACGCTGTGCTTGCTGTTATTCCGGGAGGTCTGACAAAGGAACTTCAACCGCTCGACATCGGTGTGAAGCGGCCGTTCAAAGTAAGGCTGCGAGCGGCGTGGGAGCGATGGATGACAGACGGAGACCACAGTTTCACTAAAAGTGGAAGGCAGCGCCGGGCAAGTTACGCCACCGTTTGCGGATGGATTGTAGATGCTTGGACTAACGTTTCTGCTGGGACTGTTGTTCGAGCTTTCGAAAAAGCCGGCATCATTTCCAAGGAGCCGCCCGGCACGGAAAGTGACTCTGACAGCGAAGAAGAAGGGGAAACTGGCATGTCGGATTTAGCGCAGCTGTTTAATTCAGAAACAGAGGAGGAGGACTTTGAGGGGTTTGATTAATACTCTGTAATAAATACTTGAATAAAGCACAATCATACTCAGTTTTGCTCCAGCTCTATTTTTCTACCTGAAAGCTTAATTCGACAGCAGCCTCTGGGCCGCGGCGCATCCGGGCTCACCTCGGCAGCTGGCAGGTGTTTTTTCATCTAAATAATCTAAATCTTTTTAAGTGAGAAAGTCCACCTGAAAATTTAATCATTGCAGTCAGTTCATCCAGATTATTATCCTGCCTATGTTTTAAGTTAATTTATGCGTCAATAAACTGTATCAGAGGAGTAATCACAGCCCTGTGTCATCAGCGATGTGTCTCTCACGGCCGGTTCCCAGGTTTGAATAATACTTTGTAATAAATACACCTTGCAGCTTTGTTTGCTGTGATCAGTGGGAATAAAGTAGTTTTAATATGTTTTTAAGTGGGAAAATCCACCTGAGAGGACATGTACCTGTATATAAAAAACGCGCCCTATAGTCCGGTGCGCCTTATGTGTGTGTTAAATACAGAAATGGCACACATAACTGAGACTGCGCCTTTTAGTACGGTGCGCCTTATGGTCGTGAAAATACGTTAAACCTTTTCGACATTTGTGATGCTATGGCAAACTTGGAGCAACGCAGTTTACATATTTTATGAGGTAGAGCAGAGTGTTGTAGTCAAGACCACTCGGACCGAGACAAAGGAGTACAGAGACTGAGACAAGACTTTAGAGGCCGAGACCAAGACCGTACAAAGTCTTGATCTCTAGAGGTCTTGGTCTCAGCACTCATTGGTCTTGGTGGGTGTGGTCTTGACTGCAAGGCAAGTAGAGCAGGAAAAAACTGTGGGGAATGGAGGGAATATTTCCTAAATAACTAACAATTGCATGTACCTACCAGTTTTATACATCTAGGATCTGATCTTCACAGATTACAGATAAGAGATTGGTAATCTCTTCACCAGTATATGACATATATATGATATGTCATGTCAAACCCTGATACCACAGCCATGAATGGTCAGATTCCCTAAGTTTAGTAGTGCAATAAGTGGGTGTGCAGGTGATCTACAAAGAATGCTGCACAAGACCTGTAAACTGGTTCGGTCCTGCCCATTAAAATAAACAGTGAACCATTAAAATGAAAAGTGAACACAATAAAATGAACACTGCTGTGGCCATAAAAGAAAGAGCAGTTTCTAAACCATGTAGATAGAGGTAATAACATTGGCAATACTAAATCATTTTCAATGCACACCTCAAATGGGAAGCCTAAGTGCTAAAAACAAAAGGGAAAAATGAAACATAATTTTATGTAAAGCTGTGTTTTACTGAAAGAATGAGGAGGAAAAAAATCCTTTTTCCCCAAATCCATTTTTTTCCCAGGTCATTCAACATGCAGGAGGCCTTAGCGACCATTGGGGAGAAACTGTGTGTGGAGCTGAGCCAGTGTTTAAGCCAACATGGCTTCCCTTCCCTCACAGCTGAGCGTAAGAGCACTCTGAAGGGGCAGATCTCTGCCACCATCCATCCAGACAACACAGTCCGAAAGCTAATGGGTAAGACTCGTTCCCCTTCCTTACATCCCTTCATGTTGCAGCGACTAAAGAAAAACCTTCCTCGTCTTCCTCTTTAGACTCTCGGATTCAAAGCTATCTCCTGGCTGCCCTGGAATCCAGTCAGCACAAGACACCTCCTCCTCTCCCAGGAGGTCTGGCTCCGGTCAGCAGGGAACTTGGAGAGCTCTCGGTCCGCTTCAGCCGCCTGGTCAACTACAACAAGCTGGTTTTCTCTCCGTTCTACCAGAAGATCCTCCAGAATGCACCAACTCCTGAAGAGGGCCCTAGCATAGAGACATAAAGCCCCCCCCCCCCCCCCCCCCCCCCCCCCTACTGGGGTCAGGAGTTCCTCTGCTCTCCCTTATTGGCAACAGTTTGGATGCAGAAAGGAAAGTTAAAGAGGCTGATCTCTAAACTAAGAGGAAAGCCAGGCCTGCAGAGCTAGCACCTTCAAATATTACAATTCCACTCACATTTACTGATGCAGTGTTGTTTCTTCATTAAAATGACAATTTCAATGATTGCATTAACTTCCCGAGTATCGTGCATGGATAACCAAACTGTTGGTACTGTAGTTTTATTATAACCAGGCACAGTGTGAAATTACAGAGGTATTCATATCACTTGAACCTTTACAGACTTTGTCAAATCATTGCCACCAAAACTTTGATGTTATATATTTGGACGGAGAAACGTAGCGAAGTCTGTGCCTGTTTATGAAGTGAAAAAGAAAGGGTACTTGGTGTCACGTTTTTAGGCAAAAAGATATATTAAATCTATGGCATGCAGATGTAGTCAAAGCACTTGGACCAGAACTATGAGGAACCATCTTTCTGGCTTGCTAAAGGAAATCTATAAAATATAACAAATTTCATGGTTTTAACAGAACAAAGTGTAAATGAGGATCACACATAGTTTTTAAAAGCACTGTAATTAAGTCCACTTCGTATCATCAGCTAAGCTGGCGATCACAGTAAGTCACCTTACACTGGTTATGTGTCCAGTTCTGCTTTTAGGTCTCCTAGTGTTTAATTGTATTTTAAATCCCTAGATAGACTTGAATGTTTTCAGCTTCAAAACTGTTTTAAGCAATAGAAGATTTGTTAGCTTCTTCTGTAGAAAAATCCTCTGGTCATAAAATATAGACCAGTTGGTCTGGTCCACTTGTCATAAAGGGTGTTTTAGGGATGTAAGGGGTTAATTTTGGAGATATTTGCAATGAATGTAAGTAAACAAGCAAAACCCTTCTTATATATGCATTATAGGATGGAAAGCATATAAATTCAAGTAAGACATTTCCTGCATGTGTTATGTCGACCACTGAGAATAATACCACACTTTAGAGTTATGGAGGAGAAATGAAATTTGATGACCTTTAGATTAGTGGTTTTGAGCCGACAGAAATGAACAGAACAGAACTGTGAGCCGTTCGATCCATCGTAAGAAAAGAAACCTTTAAAAAAAATCTATCGGTCGTCTAAACTAGTTTTCTGGCTTCTCTGAAAATCTCCAGTTGCAGAAAATACAACCTTAAACATTTTTGGTCGGTACGAGTCTTTTGTTTTCTCAATTCATTCAGAACACAAAGGAAAGGAAATTATGAACCAAAGGATATTGACCCAAAATACTGTCCTGTAGATGTTTTCAGTGTAACTTTTACTTCTTATTTGCTCATTGTAAACTTATTGTTAGATATTCTCTAGTTTTATTCTGATATTTATGTTTACATTAGATTCTTCTTTATAAACATTAATTTCTTCCTTATATCAGTTGACTACCTTTTGTTGGCCCTGTTTGCTGTTATTCACAAAAATTGCACAGTTTATATTTGTTTTCACTGTTATATGTCTTTAGGTGTTCATTTGACATGCAAATAAAGCTTGTCCAAAAATAAAGCTAAAGTTTGCTCCCACATAAAGAGGTCTGTTTTTTTTTTTTTTTTTAGATTGTAACATAAGTGTAACCTGTTGTATCTATACTAGTTACATTATACAATTGAAGATAATTGTTTCTAAAACGCCATTTAATGTAAAATGATAATCACTTACCGGTAGGTCTTATGCATGTAGTACACATGTGTGACAGCAGATGGAGCTATAGCTCTCATAAAAAAAAAAGCCAAACAAATTTTTTTTATGTCAACTTGAAGGTTTTCATGTTTCCATTAAATGAATCAAAAGACTTTTTCCGTATAATCCTTTGTCAGTTTCACATAAGCAACTTTGCTTTAAATTTAGACTAAGTAAATACCACCTAATGTTCCCGCATGCACTGTATTTTTTCCCCATTTTGTCTCAGAAATCCTTTTTTTGACCAGAAGGATTAATCCAGACATAATTGGTGTTGGTGCTCCATTTGGTTTGATTTTGGGTGTCAGATCTGTCTGTGTTTCAAGTCATGGAAGCTAACTGGAATAACCCTTGTAGTCCTGCAAAGCTGTTATTGATTGATTGACTTTACTCAAATTTACTCATTACATAGCTCAATAGTCAAAAAGAAGAAGAAAGTGCCAAAAGGAGGAACAGGTGGAAAAAAATAGGTATATGTATGGGTTATATATATATATATATATATATATATATATATATATATATATATATATATATATATATATATATATATATAAAACAAGCCAATGAAATTTGTTTTCCCAGTTTAAAGATGTTTTGCTTTCCATCCAAAGCCCCTAAAATCTCCCCAATTTCACTGGTGCAGACCAGTATTGGGTATTGCAGGCTAAATTTTTTTTTTTTTTTTACTTTTTTGGAATGACTATCATATGAGATATATATGATATATTATGTCAAATCCTGACACCACAGCCATGAGTTTGGAATGGTTTGGACCTAACGCCAGCCTGAAAGCTGAAGCCACCTTTTGGTATCAACCTCCCAGATCACTTAGGTCTTCTAGTTCCAGCCAACTCTGTACACCCAGAACTAGAACCAAACATGGAGAAGCAGCATTTAGTTCCTATGCTCCACTGATCTGGAACAAACTTTCAGAAGACTGGAAAAGTGCTGAAAGCCTGAGTTCTCTTAAGTCAAAGTTAAAAACCCATTTGCTTAGAGCTGCCTTTGACTGTTGAAGATAAAATGCTAAGTGGGGTATTAGTTTAAGGTTGGGATCCAACTGTTTTACTTACTTTATCATGTTTTCACTTGCTTTTATTCTGCTTTTTTGTGGGTTTTTTTTAGTGTCAAAGTTTTTCCTTTTTTCTTCTTCTATTTTATTATCTAATTCATGTTAATTTATTGATTTACTCAGGCAATTTGAATTGCCCATGTACGAAATTGTTCTACTGCGATGGACTGGTGACCATTGACTGCTGGAGATAGGCACCAACACCCCTCGTGACCCCAATTGGGACAAGCGTGTCAGAAAATGGATGGATGGATGGATGAATTGTTCTTTACAAATAAAATTAATTGCCTTATTTGTTATTCTGAGATTCATCTCAGAATTCCAACTTTAATCTCAGATTTCCATGTTTTCTTATTCAGAATTCTGAGAGAAAAAAAAACAGAATTCTGACTTTTTTTCTCAAGATTCTGAGATTAATCTCAGAATTCCGAATTTAATCTCAGAATTCCAACTTTTCTTATTCAGAATTCCAACTTTAATCTCAGAATTCTGACTTTTTTTTTCTCAGAATTCTAACTTTTAATCCAGGATTCCGACTTTAATTCTGACTGAGAAAGGTCAGAATTCTGAGAAAGAAAGTCACAATTCAGAATTTTTTTCCTCAGAATTCTGAATACGGTAAGAAAAGTTGGAATTCTGAGGGAAAAAAAATCTGAATTCTGACTTTTTCTCAGAATTCTGACTTTACTTATTCAGAATTCCAACTTTAATCTCAGGATTCCGACTTTAATTCTGACTAAGAAAAGCCAGAATTCTGAGAAAGAAAGACAGAATTCTAATTTTTTTCCCCTCAGAATTCTGAATAAGAAAAGTTGGAATTCTGAGGGGAAAAAAATCAGAATTCTGACTTTTTCTCAGAATTCTGACTTTAATTTCAGAATTCCGACTTTAATCTCAGAATTCCAACTTTTCTTATTCAGAATTCCAACCTTAATCCCAGAATTCCTACATGTTTTATTCAGAATTCCAACTTTAATCTCAGAATTCTGACTTTTTTTCTCAGAATTCCAACTTTAATCTCAGGATTCCGACTTTAATTCTGACTAAGAAAAGTCAGACTTCTGAGAAAGAAAGACAGAATTCTAATTTTTTCCCCCTCAGAATTCTGAATAAGAAAAGTTGGAATTCTGAGGGGACAAAAAAAACAGAATTCTGACTTTTTCTCGGAATTCCAACTTTTCTTATTCAGAATTCCAACTTTAATCTCAGAATTCTGACTTTAATCTCAGGATTCCGACTTTAATTCTGACTAAGAAAAGTCAGAATTCTGAGAAAGAAAGACAGAATTCTGATTTTTTTCCCCTCAGAATTCTGAATAAGAAAAGTTGGAATTCTGTGGGGGGAAAAAAAAACAGAATTCCGACTTTAATCTCAGAATTCCAACTTTTCTTATTCAGAATTCCAACCTTAATCCCAGAATTCCTACTTGTTTTATTAAGAATTCAAACTTTAATCTCAAGATTCCGACTGAGAAAGAAAGTCAGAACTTTTTTCTATTTTTCAGTGACCTTTATCCTCTTCAGTACCATGACATGTATGTCTGCATTGTTGTAGTGTTTGTACGCTGGTGACCGCAGCTGGATCATGGAAGTTTTGAATGTTTTGAGTCGTGTCAGTCTGACTCACAGCTCCTCCTCCTCCTCCCCTCCCCAACATTCCACACATGCGGAGAAGCAACAAGCTACCGAAGCAGCAGAAGCAACAAGCTAACCTCCAGCAGCTAACTCGGTCGGGGGGGGACGAGGCGTGTTAACATGCAAAAGTTTAGAAACCCCGAACTTCGCCTCGACTAGTCACCATACTAACGTTTAACGAGACTCCATAAGACCCTCTAAAACATGGACCATAGCTCGTTTTTGTAAATAGTTGTTTTTTGTAGTTAGAAGCTTTGAATGTGTGAAAAGTCGCTCCGTGTCCTCCTCGTCGTTGAACAAGATGGCAGCAGCAACAGTAGCCCCGTTGCAGAGTTTAACGGTGGTTCGGCTGTTTGTTGCTAGTCTGCTCTTCCACACTCTGAGGGATGCGTTTCACTCTTCCTACTGAAGGTAGGTGACATTATCTCTTTGAAACATGCAGCCAAACACACTTAGCCTTTTCACATTTGTTCATATTTGTTGTTATTTTTAACGTCCGCAGTACTTCGCTCGCCGTTAGCTTGTTTGCTAACTTCAGTGTTATATCTTTTTATAGGCAGCGCTAACATTAGTTCTAGAAGTTTCTTTTAATTTAAAATAAATGCTTATCTTTTTGGGGTTATTTTAGGGTGTCGTTTTGACATAAACCGTGTATATTTTTGTTGTTTTGAAGTAAAGTAAAAGACGTTGACAGTTATATCTAAAGGAGCGTAAAGTGAGGTTAAAGTATTTATTGGGACGAAGTCGCAGTAAGCTTCCCACTCACACCATCAAACAGCTGTTATTGATGGTAGGGTGATAAAAACACTTTCAACAGGTGTCTTGGTGGAGGGGGGGAGGTTTGCCCATCCCCCAAACTTGCACGTACTCTGATACATAAACACACAGAGCTCTGCTGCTGCCATATGCAGGCTGTCACTTGGATTGATCAGCAGCAAACTGTGAGACGTTTTCCCGAACTACCAAAACAACCAGAACACCTGCTGAACCCATAGACGTGTTTCCACCGCCCTGTGTGTTTAGATTGATTTAGTTATTTGACAGAGAAAGTCTGCATTAATAAGCATTCCTGTTAATGCACCAGAATTAGCCAAAAGGCTGTTTTTCATCTATGCTCCCTGGACAGATCTAAACATTTTCTTCCTAAAAACACAACAGTAAAAATTTTACAATGAAAAATATAAAAATAAATACAAACAGCTATGTCTCTTCTAAACTTGTTTAAAAATACAGAATAAGTCTTCGCTGGACTACAGATTATAGGTTAATAAAAAATAAAAATAAACTACAGAATATATATATATATATATATATATATATATATATATATATATATATATATATATATATATATACAGGGTTTCTGCAGGTCATAAAAAAAAAAATTAACTAAGGCCTTAATTGGCATTAAAATTGTTTAAACGTGATTATCACAGCATTTAAAATCCTTTTTTTCTAATTTATTTAAGTGTGTTTATAAAAACAATTTCATCAGATGTATTATATCGGGATATATTTGCATGGAACTGCTTCCGGTTGATCGGATATTCATATATTTGGAAAAGAAGCGGAGAAAAAGCTAGAGAATGGGGAAAATGCAAATGTCAACGAAAGTAGCTGGAAAACGAGGAATTTGGAACATGGCTGCAGCCTGTCGACGTAAAGATGACGAATGTTTATATAGATGTTTATATATATGAGTCAAAGGTACTAGTTGATGGCATTAGAATTATTTCTAAGAGCATTAAAAAGCATTAAATTAGAGTTACTCATTCCTGGATAAACCCTGATATACATACATATACACCCTTATACATACCGTATTTTCACGACTATAAGGCGCACTTCAACGTCTTTTTTCCCCCTCAAAATGTGCAGTGCGCCCTTTGGTGCGGTGCGCCTTATGTGTGTTGTAACTGCGACTTTTGAGACCACCTCATTGAGGAGATGATGAAAGAGTGGCTGAATGTAAGGAGACCAGGTGTTTTTTTTTTTCCACTCATCACCATCGCTGTTAATATGTGACTCCATGCGTGCCCATCTCACAGCTGATGTGAAAAACATGGGGAAACAAATTAACGCTGTGCTCGCTGTTCAACCGCTCGACATCGGTGTGAACCGGACCCAGCAGGTGCAGCAGAAGCAGCGAGTTTACATGCAAAGTCAATGGTTGACGCGCGTATAGGTGCAGCAAAAAGCGCGTTTTGAGCCGCAGCCGCAGCGCCTCGGGAGCGTTTAAGCATCTGCCAACACGCTGCTGCTGCTCGAGATGGAAAAATTGAAGTTTTGCTGCTGGACGCGCCGCATCAACCAATCAGAGAAGCTGATCTGGGAGCTGACAGCGAGACAGACACAACGCTCTGATGACATTAACGCAAATGAAAAAGGCTGGAGATGATGAAAGGCAGGTGTATGTGAGGAGACCAGGTGCTTTTTTCCACGCATCACCATCGGTGCGTGCCCATCTCACAGCCGATGTGGGAAAAAAAAGGTGAATCAAATGAACGCTGTGCTCGCCGTTATCCCGGGGGGTCTGACAAAGGAGCTTCAACCGCTCGACACTCAGTGTGAAGCGGCCGTTCAAAGTAAGGCTGCGAGCGGCGTGGGAGCGATGGATGGCCGACAGAGACCACAGTTTCAGGATAAGTGGAAGGCAGCGCCGGGCAAGTTACGCCACCGTTTGAGGATGGATTGTAGATGCTTGGACTAACGTGTCTGCTGGCTCTGTTGTTCAAGCTTTTGCAAAAGCCGGCATTATTTCTGAGGAGCCGCGCTGCACGGAAAGTGACTGACAGCGAGGAAGGGGAAACTGGCATGTCTGATTTAGCGCAGCTGTTTAATTCAGAAACAGAGGATGATGACTTTGATGGGTTTGATTAATAAATAAATACATGAATAAAGCACAATCATACTCAGTTTTGCTCCCGCTCTATTTTTCTACCTGAAAACTTAATTCAACAGCAGCCTCTGGGCGGGTCTCCTCCTCTTCACCGCGGCGGCTGGCAGGTGTTTTTTCATCTAAATAATCTAAATCTTGCAGCTATATTTGCTGTGATCAGTGGGAATAAAGTAGTTTTAATATGTTTTTAAGTGAGAAGGCCACCTGAAAACTTAATTGCAGTCAGTTCATCCAGATTATCTATTTCTGTCGGAGGCGCTCAGACCCCCACATACCAGCGGTGCGCCGACAGCAGAAATCCATTCAACAGCAGCCTCACCTTGGCAGCTGGCAGGTGTTTTCATCTAAATAATTTAAACTGCAGGCACCAGGATACCGGCAATAAAAGCGAACATATTCCGTCGGCAGGTTTCAGGATTTTAAGTTAATTTAGGAGTGATCACAGCTCTGTCATCTGCGATGTGTCTGTCTCACGGCCAGCTCGCAGGTTTGATTAATACTTTGTAATAAATACATGAATAAAGCACAGTCATACTCAGTTTTGCCCCCGCTGTATTTTTAAAATGCGCAGTAGAGCTATTTAAAGGTAGTTGAGGACATGTACCTGTATATAAAAAATGCGCCCTATAGTCCGGTGCGCCTTATGTGTGTGTTAAATACAGAAATGGGACACATAACTGAGACTGCACCTTTTAGCCTTATGCGCCTTATGAAAATACGGTACACACATACATACATACACATATACATACATGCACACAGTCAACTAATGCTGACATGACTGATGTGTTATAAGCCTGTTTTTGAGATGCTTTTTTAAAAAGAGTGAATGTTTTAAGATCTCTTATGTTCTGAGGGACAGATTCCCGTGCCTTTGTGACTGCAAAGGCTCTTTGACTAAAAGCACCTTTACGCAGGGGAACAACAGTCTCCTCTAGCTTACTGCCAGTGGGTTTCTGATCTTTACAAACTGACTGAGTGACCATGGATTATTTTGTAAAACAGAGGTTTGCATACTTGATGCCATTTTCCCAGCTTAAAAGCTTATGTTTTAGTAAAATGGCACAATGGTGATATTTTGATATATATATATTTTTAATTTAAAATCTTCATTGTTTTTAAAGAGATTCTAAAGGGTTGCTTCTTGTGTATGTTTGCTTCTCTGAAGCTGGATCTCTATTTCAGCTGAATCCCCTCAGATATCAGGTTACACAGTTTGGCACCTGGTGTAACAGACAAAACTGTCCCTCAAAGGACTTGGAGCTAGCATGGCATGGATGACATGTACACCAAACCAGCACCCCCCCCCCCCCCCCCCCCCCCCCCCCCCCCCCTCTGGCTGGCCTTTCTGCTGCAGTGGCTGAAATTCTCTATCAATTGCATCATAGAGTTATTATCAGTTTGCTTGACTTGCTGTTGTGGGTGGCGATTGGGTGAAGCAGTTACCAACTGTGCTTAATTTAATCTGTGTTTACCCTCTGAGGAGGGGGGGGCTATATGTGTAAATCAGCGCTCTTCAACGTTTTCCAGGCTTAGGACCCCCATACTGATGGCGAGATGGAGCGGGGACCCCCTAATTATACATATTGTATGAAATTGTGTTATATCAAACTGGTTCTATAGTCACTATTACAGCTGGAGTAATATATCCAAAGTAATTTCTCCCTGGGATTATTAAAGTATTTCTAATTGAGATTCCTGGTTGATGGGACAGGTGTTGTGAATGAAACGGTCTCCAGCTTGAAAGAGCTCCTGTGTGTCGCTGAATGTGAGCATTGATGACTGAAAGACATCTTCTGCCTCCATTTATCTGTTTACTACAGTCTGTTGAATTCATCTTAATGTGGATTTAAAGAGATTTCAATTGCCGGAAAAAATTGCGGGGGGGAATATAAAACAAAGTCTAACCAACCAAAACTTTAGTGACCCCCATGTAGTACCTCTGTGGACCCCCTAGGGGTTGTGGACCACCTGTTGAAGACCTCCGGTGTGGATGATGATAGTAACTGGATGCATAATTAGTTCAGTCTTTTGTGTTTTAAATGACTTTAGTTCCAGATTTGAGACGTTGCCATTTGTTTTTAAAAAGCTCACTGCTTTATTTGTCAGAAGAACTGAGGAAGCCCGCTTCTTGTAAAGTTGACTAAGAGACACACCCCACTGCCTGTCTGAGCCTGTGCACAAGCCTTGTTCGTTTGGGAGTCTACCCTCTCACCGTTAAACTGATTATTTTGCTGCCTTTAAATGAAGGAGTGCTCATGCGACATATGATTGAGCCTAAACCCTCAAGTCTTTTGATTTTTGTGTCCAGACAGGCACGGTCTGTCTCTCTGTTGGGGAAACTATCAGGAAGTTTGCCTGATGAGCTTGTTGATGTGGTTGAACAACCTGGAATGTCCCTACATATATACTTTGCAAAGTAGTTTTAAGTAGATTTTTTTTTTTTTTGGCTTTTTTATCCCATGTTCCAGTTACCTGACAGAGTTGGCCATTTGCACTGACCACTGGTCGT